TTGAAATGCATTAACAAATATTTGATGATTAAAAATTTCAACTTTTTTTGAAAAATAGCAGGAAATTTGAATATTTGAGAAATGAAATGCTCTTTTTTCAAAAATCTTTTTAAGGCATGACAAATAGTAAATGAATGATAAAAAAATATTTTCAAACTTTAGACGGGGACTTTAAGAGAGGATATGAATGGGGAATGACATGCCTGTTGATGCAATGGCATATTGCTAAACTTTTCAACTCTGTAGAACGCAGCATAGAAGGATGTATCTTCATGTAATAAATGCGCAGCATGATGCTTCCCTATGGCTTGATTTCCTGTTATTGTCTCCGGCCCTTAACAAAGTATGTCACATATCAACAATCAGTTTCCTCAAGCTTTGTCATGTGAACATTTGCTCACTCTAGAATTAGACGCAGGCATGACTGATTAATTAAACAGCTGCTGTTCTAACACCTACATGTTCCTGACACCTTTAGGTGTTTTCCAGTGGTAACGTCAGTGAGACCAATGTGTGATATATTGACATAATTTACAATTGAAATCTGACATACAAAAAAGGTGATATAAACACCTAATCTAATCAAAAATTGAGTGTTTGAGATATACATTTTACAATATTAAGTTTTAACTAGGTCAGACATTAAATGAGTCAAATGGGGAAATTAAGAATACTCAAATAATCAAGTTTGTGTGTGGGTTCGCTTTCTCTTTGCCCATTTTTGCCAGGAACGCATAAGACATTGTATATTGGTTAATGGGGTTGTTTGAAACGCTCATACGATGTCACAATTTACAAAGGATTGCCACATTGTCTATCAAAAGCACTCTGTTCATTATGGCTGACACACCTCTTTCCCTTTATTAATGAAGACCTTCTATTTCTATGTCTTTCTTCTCGTCATTGTCAACAAGTAATGAGATTTCTTTAAAGCTTTTTGATCACTGTTTGGCATAGTAACATATTGTTACGCTTTTTGATTGTAACAGGGTTGTGACATTTTGTTGGTTTAATTGATAATTAATTCCTCAGTATTCATTATTAGTGCTCTATAGTAATATTTCAAAAATGTTAGGCAGATTAGTAATACATGTGATAGCCTATTTGAGTAGCCACAATTTATTCCCTTTCAAATGGGGGAATTTAAAATTACTCAAGTTTGTGTGTGGGTTCGCTTTCTCTCTGCCCATTTTTGCCAGGAACGCATAAGACATTGTACATTGGTTTGTCTGTTTAGCCAGGCATGGTGGGTCATCCGAAAACTTCAATTGTCAGTATTCGTTCTAACCTCCTTTGGATAAAGTTTCTTTCTCTTATTTTGACCAAAAAAATCTTTCAAAGTGTACTAACTTTTAGTGGCCTTAACTTTTTTGGCGTTTACATATATTTGCATACTAAAGTAGTCTACAGTATGTCTGAATATTCAATTAAGTCATGGATGGAAGTCATGTACTGTATCTGAAAGCCACTGTTTAAATCATCCTTTTACACCTGTGTTAATCATTCAGTTGATATGAATCAAGATGTCCACTAATGTCAATACAAGAATCAAACAATTTGTGGAATTTCTTTTCAGACACTTTCATCATTTCTCCATGTTGAAGGTACATATATCAAATAAGCATTAAATATGTCAACATTCCAGTGAGGTATAAGCCATTAGGTTGGATTGTAAATCTTCACTATCAGTCCCTACCTTGTAATTGGCAGCATCTTTGTTTGAACAAACAAGTCTATAGCATGCGAGATCTGTCCAAAATCGGGGATTTATTTCTGATACAGCTTATCATTACAAATCAATTAAAAGTTATGACATCACGAGTGAATTCATAGATCACGTTATATTTCACGATAATCTGAGGTTTCTGATCTAGCACATGGTCTGGAACATCGATTTTATCTATTATGGTATTGTTATGACGTATAATTACATGTTATAGAATGTTGCTTTATTGAAATGTTAGGTAATTTGCATGTATGGTAATTTGATGTGAAGCCTAATGAATGATCTGGTTTTATATGATGGTTTCTTACAAGGGTGCATCATTAAAGTGTGCAGTTTGCTTGTTAACCATTAATGAACGGTGTGAATTTTTAGCACATTTTGATTGGCCCATGTGAAGTAGATCTTTCTTTGTTTTCACTCTGTGGGGTACAGAATCTGTATGTCCCTGTATCCCAATCAATTAAACAACTTCAAAACCATTTTGAACGCAACATGCCAAATATTGTTGAATGTGCTCAAAGGTCATCAAAATATTTGTCTGACATGGGAGAGCATGCTATTTTGCATAAAAACAGTATGAAAACTTCACAAATAATTTTTTTAATCATGTTTTATTATACCAAAGAAAATTACCTATCTACAATTGCATGGAGTAGGCAATTTTCTTTGATATAGCAAAACATTATGTGTTAAAAATTATTTGTGAAATTTTCATAGTGTTTTTATGTCACCACCAAAAAGTGGTGACATATTGTTATGGTCTCCATTTTTTGTTCAAATCTGAATATTGATTTGACCTTCAATGACATTTTCAAGGTCAAAAAAAGATTTGACCTTCAGTGATCTTCTCAAGGTCAAAAAAAGGTTTAAAAGGTCTTTTTTCAACTTTTCAAAATCATCTACAAGTTTTCACATGTTCAAATCTGACTCTAAAATTACCATTTGACCTTCGGTGACCTTTTCAAGGTCAAAAAAGGTCAAAAAGGTATTTTTTCAACTTGTTTCAAATTTTTTTTCAAAATCATCTTCAAGTTCTCAGAAGTTCATTGTCAAAAAGCCTGTTTCAAATTGACCAATTTTTCAAAATCATTTACAGAGTTCTCAGAAATTCAAATCTGACTTAAGTTTGAACTAATTATATTGTGAGCAACTGGGTGGTGACATTTTGTCATGTTAATGCCTTGTAAGAAAAATTGAATGCTTCCCCATGCTGGACAAATCTTTCGATGACAACATGTGGTATTTCCCTCGACTGATGCCTCATGAATTACAGATTTATGCATATTATTGAAAAGTTAGAAACATTTACATGTTAAGACCATAGAAATAATGACGGAATTGGTATATATGAGCATATCATTCTGATTATTTCGGTTTTGAGGACACAAATCAATTTAGCGAGTCATGTTCTTTTGCCAGTATGGGGCTCACAAATTAGCACCATTTGTTCACTTTAAGTGGCTAGGTTTTACTCATATTAACTGGTAGTAGTAGTATCAACTATTCAACTATTACATTATACATGTACCAAATGAATTTACTATCACAAAGTGCCCCAATTGTGGCATAGATTGGACCATTTAGATCATCGTAAAAATTTGCAATACGGTGAAATTAGTGAAAGAACACTGTTATAAATTGATCATGATATTTTAGAATATAAGTTAATTTGGAAAGGAATACAAAATGTGCATAATTAGCAACCGATAAAATGACATTTTATTTAAATTCTTGCTAAACTCAAGGTCGCAAAGGAGATAATTTCCCAGAGGCCCAAGTTATACAACTTAGTCTTGAGTCTGATCTCCCTATTACTATCATACCATGGGAATGGATTAGATATGTCTTTATATAATATAAAGTAAGATATGACTACCTTTATAGAAAGAAGTAGATAACTAATTAATATATGAACATTTGTTGTGCTGTTCAATCATAATAACTTAGGTAAGGGGTCGGGTCAAAACATCAATGTCCATCAAAAAAACATAATTAATTACATTAGGGGGAGGGGGTAAAACGCTATTTAATTAGGTGACGGACATCGATTTTCAGTTTCTTCGGGTTGCGTCTTTTGCAATTTCTGCATTCCACAATCTCGTCACCTATTAAAAAGTGAAAGTTCCAACTGAATCCTTTTAGAAACGTTCTAGGTTACAACATAACCATTCATAAAGCAAATCATAAACATTCTAACTACGAAAAAATTTAAGATACGCATTTGACTAGGTTGGATAATGGATGGTGATAGAGAATCATTAATAAACGAAGCAAATCATTAGTGGAAATTTCATTTGGAAAAATGTCATAAACATTTTGACTTTCGTTAGAAGGGGGAGGGGGGTCAAGACCTAACTAATTAGTTTTTTGACGGACATTAATGTTTTGACTTGGCCCCTAACACCTTGTGCTTAAAGTAGGAATAAAGGATTTTAAACATAAAATATGTTGGAAAATCTATGTTCAGTAAACATAACCACTATTTGATTTTCACCAGTTGTTTTCACAAAATCGCCTGTTGTTTTTAGGGAATTTTCAACTTTTCCATGTTTTTATGATTTCCATTAATTTTGCCTGTTGTTTTCATTTATTTCGCCTGTTGTGAGAAATTCTAGTGAAACCGCTGATTTATGAAATGTGAATTTGATCTTATTTGATAACACTTTATATTATTTTATTCCTTCAGATATATGATAGTACATTAATTAATCTATATTGTATCTATTATTTCATTTATGTATATATTATTTAATTGCCGCTAATGTTGTAAAACTTTGGCAATCAGCTGACTGTGTATATCTATGTTATTATTTGAAATTGAAATTTGAATCGATAACATGAAAAAAAAACACATTAATTCCCTTTGTGTGGTGACACTTTATATTTATTCAGTATGTGATGACACTTTATATTTATTCCGTTCGTATGTGATGACACTTTATATTTATTTCGTTCTCATGTGATGACACTTTATATTTATTCCGTTCGTATGTGATGACACTTTACATTAATTCCCTTCGTGTGATGACACTTTATATTTATTCCGTTCGTGTGATGATACTTTATATTTATATCATTTGTATGTGATGGCACTTTATATTTATTCTGTTCATGTGATGGCACTTTATATTTATTCCATTCCTATGTGATGACACTTTGTATTTATTCCATTCGTATGTGATGACATTTTATATTTATTCCGTTCATACGTGAGGGTATATAATTATTCCCTTTATATGTGATACTTGATATGGTTCATGTTTTTTATTTCCAGTCTTAATTACCGGTTACCCCAACAGACAAGAGTGATCCTGCACAAGTCAGAGTAGAGTAAATCGAAAATCAAGAAAAATTATCAAGCCTGGTTTCTTACAAATTCTTTCCGGAGAGAATCGTAACCGAATGATGGTGTCCCCAGCACAACTTCTCATCGCACTGGCCTTATTTGTTCCCGCTGTTTTCACGGCTGCCATACAAGCACAACAGAACAATCATCCTTTAGAAGATAAATACCCTGTAGATTTAACATCTCATAAACGCTCATCGAGAAGTACAGCCGGACAATATGAATTTCTCAGATCACTTGTTAATGCAGACATTAAACTTCGGGGTGAGATTTTATCGCAGCTTCGTGAAGCTTTAGCCACCGTTGATATCCAACATATGATGAGGCTAAACTCGCAAATACAAGCCAATCGTTTATTTGAAAAGAATGCGATGGAGAAAAAGGATGCTTTTTGGCAGCCAATGGGTGGCCCTCTGCCGATTGAAACAAGACTCGCCTCTTTTGGACGACCAATCGTACAAGCTAATGCTGATAATGGTGCTAAACCCAATCCTATGAGATATGGCAAAAGGAGATGAATAGATGGCAGCATCAGTTAAATCTATCAGCATTTATGTTCTCAGAAGTTTTACACAAACATGTTTCAAGAGTCATGACTCATGAAGCCAAAGCTTGACAAAAAATTCAAGTGGTTCTCTTTATTGTTTACTGTTGTTTATTTGAATAAATTAACAATGTATGTATATTTATTTATGATAGTTAATGATAAATATGTGTACTGTACTAAATAGAGTTTAGTATCATTTGAAAAAGAATACATATGAAATATGATTGCTGAATAACATGTTAAATGAATGCATGCGATTGTCAGTTTTTTGTTGATTTCAGTTTATGTATTTTGCTGAAGAATGTTAGCCTGTTAACATGATATTTCAAGAGCGGATCTGGGAACAACCAAGGGGGCCCAAATTTCACAATTTTTGGGCCCCTTAAAACCAAAAATTGGGCCCCTTAAAACCAAAAATTGGGCCCAAATTCTCAAAATTTAAGGCCCATTTTCTTGAAAAGGCTTAAAATTAGAAACTTTTAGGGCCCAATTTTTTTTTCTTGGACCATCTTAGCCCCCCCCCCCCCCTCCTTATCCGCCAGTGCATTTTATACATTAGCTTTAACATGTTTTACAAGATGGTGCTTGTATATGATAAAATGCACCACATTTAAGTGTAGATTGTTAACATTATATTTTAGTAGCATCCAATTAAATGAATCTGGGTTCGACATGTGGTAAAACTCCTTATTAGTAATAATAAAAAAAAAAAATTATGTGTATTTCATAAGTTGATTAGATGAATCGGCGCTTTACTTTCTGTGTTGTTAAAATTATATATTGAAAGTAAATAAATGAAAAATCAACTGATGACAGACAATGATTTCTTTAGTTAAATGTGTTAATTTATGAGTATAAATAAAAAGTAAGTAAATACAAATGTTCATCACTCACATCTATTTAAGGATGTATTTAAGGATGTATCATTTAATAAGAGTGAGAGGACTGACAATAGGTGGTGTTTTTACGTCCCCACGAAAAGTGTTCACATATTGTTATGGTCTCCAACTTCTTTGTGGATGGTGTTCGGCGTCTGTAACATGATGTCTGTATTAAATTACAGCATCTGTAACAAATGGCAGTTGGTAGCGTTTTGCATAAAATGCCTTTTGTTTATAATTGAATGAACTAGAATGGATTTTGTCCCAGTCATCACTTGCTCTTGCTCTTGATCTATTTTGATGTCAAGAGTATTGGTTATCATTTTTGTGTCACCACCATCAGAAGTGGTGACATGTTGTTATAGTCTCCTTCTTTTCTGTGGGTGGCTTTCGGGATGTCTGTAACAAATGGCAGGTAGTGACATTTTGCATGTTGATGCCTTGTAATTTATTCTTGTTAATGATCTTTATGATGAATAAAATGTCACTTGGCCTTGTGGTCTTGAATTGTTATATTGGCTTCTGAATGATGGGGGAAAGGGGGTATAAGACATTGTCTCTACACGTTAGATCATAGTCTTGGATATTTGGGGTTGTTGTCCTTATGGCTTGTACATTTAAATGTTTCATTTCCTTGCTCTGTCTTGTAATATTTGTGCATCCATATTTATATACCACAACATGTCTAGAAGAGAACCAAACCCAGAGGCCATCATTCTTATATGAAGTTCTTAACCCTGATGCAAATACTAACAATGGCCAACCAGATGACCCAACTACATGTCAAGGCCAGGGCAGCCACAATGACAATGTGGCAACTACTCCCTGGGCGCAGTCTACCGAAGATGAAGCTCTCTTTTAAGAAGCCAAGTTGAACAAATGCAAAGGGTACCACATCAATAACTTGTTATTTGAATAACATGATGTAAAACTCCCCCTCAAGGGTAAAATGAATGACTTGTTGAGCTGGACCTAATTAAGAATTAGTCTCAAAGGTGCTCGGTTAAGTTAAAATGGTTGACTTTCGCCCAAGCTTAAACAGACAAGCGAATTGATACTAATGGAATAAAATCATTTGGAAACAATATGCCATTAACGCTTCATCATTTGAGAAAAATTACCATTAAGCCTGATAAGAATGGGAAAGTTCTAGTGTATTAGTATCTTACTTAACAGAGCGTATTTGTAACATTAACTGCTACATAGCAGGCTTTGTTCACATTTATCAATTTCCCTACCATTATCCCATAAAGAAACTGCATCAGGCAATAATACATTAATTACCAACAATGGTTTTTGAAGTAATTCAAGTAGCTCATTAGTAGTAATGACTTCATCAGATGTTAAAACGCATTTCAACATATTTAACTTTCAAGACGTGTTTTGCCCAGTTTCCTATCAAATCGTTAACACATATGAGGTTACAAATTCAGTATTTATCCTAACGTTTTCTAACACCTACCTTTATTTTAATTTCTAAAAGTTTATTGTTTAACTATCCAGAGCGAACTCCCCGAACTACATGTAGATGAACGGAGAATTTTAGTTTTGAAGAAGTGTTCATTAACCCCGGGTCATTAACTTCTGTTGGTGGAAATTATGCAGTTTTTGCTTTTGCCCTCAAGGCAAAACTCTGAGAAATGTATCAATTTTCCAGCACCTGGAAATGAAGGAGGGCGTGCGGAGCAAAAATATGTAATTTTTGTGTCACCACAAAAAGTGCTGACATATTGTTGTAGTCTTCAACTTTTTTTGTGGACGGCTGTCGGAGTTCGGTGTTCGGCTTCCGTAACAAATGGCAGGTAGTGACATTTTGCATGATAATGCCTTGTTTATTTTTGTCGGAACTTCAAAGGAAAGTTGGGAATGCTGTCTGCAAGTCATACATTTATGCACAATGATGGAGAGACAGAGAAAAGGGGGCGTTTTACCTGTGAACTACTTCTCCAACCTCGGAGTCTTACAGGAAACTTACTCTAAATAAGAATTCAAAATGTCGTCGACCAAATTGAACTGCACTTTTGGGCGGGCAAAGCCATTTTGTTTTATAGTGTAACCCAAGAAGTGGAGACAGCTTTATGTGCCCAGTGTCGTCTAGCTGTAACACTTTATCACACTTCTCTTACAGATTACTAGCTGCATGACCAGGTCTATTTGACCAGGTCATGACGTTTTGACATGTTAAATGGCTTGTCTCGTTGTACAAAATATATTGAAAAGACATGATTGAAAGTTGTGTAAAGGCAAACTGACGAAACGATTAAAGAGCGTGGAATTCATGGTATACTACAGTTAAGTGCGGGCATGTCGGAAATATATTTTCATGCGAAACGACAAGTATATTTTGGATTGGCTGTGGTTTGGCTAAAAAAATGCGTGGCCTATTGTATTTCGATGCTGCTCTGCGTTGTACTTATCAAAAATATCTTTAATATATTTTAATATATTCTGTTGCATGCGCATTGTATATTATAATGTGTACATGTATGTTGCAATGATACGACGTCAGATACTGTACATCACGGCGTAACAGTGTAATTGTTCATTTTACCGACAAAATGCAAAGATTTACGCGATAAATATGCGCAATGCTCCTCCAAGTAATTGCAAACGTTTTAATATTCGTGGAATCTTCTTAAAAACTTCAAGTTTTGTTCAGATTAATGTGCGCTTTACAATTCTATATTCAAAAAGGTTGTGTCACGATATACAGAATTAGAATCACCAGAAAGTATACATTTCAAACCCTATCCGTTTTCTTCTTTGTCGCGCTTTTCGGCCCTGCGCTCTCGTTGTCGCACCGTCTTTCTAGACTCACAATGCCCCTTGTCATATTCAACTGATAAACACAGACGGGAAGATATTAAGGATTGTTAAATGCATTATTTGTAATTTATTTTAACTCGACGGTTTTATTTATTTAAAGCAATGAATAATAAAGGAGAACATATAATACGCTAACGGCGTAACGTCTTATTTTGTAAAGGCTTCACTTGGGGTTGCGGTGATAAAACGATGTCTATCTCAATATATACTCGTTCAAATTAAATGAAATTAATTGTATGTAGTAAGGGGTATATTTAAAAGAACATGCTGAAACATTGGAAAGTTTTGAATGTTTATCCCTTAATTAGAAATATTTGAACTCAAAAAATGAATCGTAATTTTGTGAATTTTTCACATGGCTTCACTTCATATTTCTTTCAATTTATACTTCTTACAGACTGAATTTTAATCGAAATGATATAGTTTTTTGATAAAAATATAGAATATGATATGCCTTTCGGGAATCAAAAAAGAATAATTCACCTTTCAAACGATTTAATGTTTAATTGATCAAAATATATATCTTGTTGGTACGAAATTCTGCCTGTCGACACTTTTTTGCATAAATATAAGCGTTAAGTTAGCATTGTTATATTATGACGTCATCACATAGAATCTGTTTGTCTTTTCCAAAATGGTGAATTTAAATATTGTGAAAATTTGAGTAAGATCCGTTGGGAAATGAAAAAGTTATCTTCATTTTTCGTTTAAAATTAAAATCACTTTTCTTCAAAATGTTACAGTCGACACCCGGTTTTAGCATAGAAAGTCGCATAATACGGCTTGCGTGATTCTCATTTATAAAGTCCCAAATCAGTTATTTGGAATTCTGATAGGCAAAATATTTCATGGACATACGTGTTCAACTGATGACGAAAAATTGTAGAAAAATATGATTTTGCTGTTGAGATATTGCGGTTTTAAAAGTAAGTACGCATTAAAAATGCAGTAAAATGCCGCGATGTACAGTATCTGACGTCGTATCAATAGAAAAACGTCAAAACACCAAAAAGTGGGCCCATATTTTGAAAATTTGAGGCCCATTTTCTTCTAAATTTGGTCTAAAATTAAAAATAAAGCCTTAAAAGGTCCAATGATGGTCAAAAAGGTCTACCTTTTGGGGCCTTAAGGCCTTTTTTGGGGCCCAATTTTTTTTCATTTTTAATGATTTTGTCTTGAAATATCAGACTATTTTTGGAGGTAGAATTCGCCTTTTACGAGGTTTATTAAAGAATACAATACATGGATAGTTTCCTTAAAAAGTAAGGTGCTCATACCGCAACTAACGGTGTACGATTTTGTATTCAATTTTACAATTGGAATCGATAAATTTTACTGTTTTAAAACAAAGTACATTGCTATGTTCAAAAAGACCAACAAATATTTACACTCTCTTTGAAACACTCGGCTTAACGATTAATATTTATTACTGTCACGTGATTGATTCACAAAAAGAAGGGATAAAAAAGAATTGTGGGTCGTTATTTCCTCCTCTTAATCCAGAAGTTAAAAATCACTTTTTTCATTGATTATGGAAGACTAATTACATTTGATCGATATCTAATTAGATAAATACAGTTAAAACAATGCAATATAACCATTGGATATAAACATGTGGAATAAACAGCTATCAAATGTACTGAAACTGAATATCTAACTTCGAGCTTTCGTTTTCGAGAACGGAATGTGCAGCAATGATGTTAGGAATAGCTATGTAAATGTAACATTATATCAGGCAGAGGTCTGCGTTTAGGTGAAAAACACAACTATGTAACCTATGATATGATATTGCTGAACTGGAGTAACACTTAACTTATACAAAACTCTTGAAAGTATCATAAATTTTCGTTTAAAAGTCCTAGTCAGCTCTAGTCATTATAAAACAAAAGGGAAATTAAAAATACGGACTTTGAACAGTGGATATGTTGCTTATGCGTCCAGAAATCCTGTAGCACAATGAATTTTACAAATGGCAAATTTTGGAAGATAGTAACATTTTTTGGACTAGTATCGGGATTGTGTGTCATTCTTTTATATCTGAAAGCTGAAAATGGTTTACATATACGGACTGCGGTGAAATCCATAATCATGGGTAACCCAGAACGACAAACTCGTATAGCAAAGAACGACTCGCTGCTGAAAGTTAATCTAACTCAGGAACGTGGTATGTATGGCATGCATGGCAACCAACGCCCTTACAAGTTTGCTTTGCGGAAAGTAACTTGAAATGGGACGAGTCAAGTGTTCCCGGTGTAAAAGAAATTATGGTCCCCAGGGATTATGGTTCCTTTTTTTAACGTCCCCTTACTGGCCCTGATTGTGTATAAGATAATAAGGGAAAGAAGACACCATATAAATCAATGAAGAGTAGAACCATAATTTGAGAGGACCTTCTCTCCTTTTACACCGGTCTTTCCTTCTAAAGTTATTCTAGAGGAAAAGAAACAATGATCGGAGTTGAGGAGATTTACACCATGTTACCATGGCGATATATTATGGTATGCACCACAGAATATTTTATTTGAAAGGCTATGTCTTCTAGATTTTGGACTATGGCGCAGGATTTGCTGACGAAACCAGACCATTCCTCGCCGGAATTCGAGACCTGATTTTTGCCTGTCCCCATCATTTGAGTCTGGATGTCCTATCTTGTATGCATAGGCCTACATCTATTTCGATGTCAATAAGAGTATTGGTATTCAATTTAAATTTATCCCCGGGAATTTATCCTTCAACATGTTATGGCCTTCAGTATGAACGAAATGGCCATGGTCTTGTGGTCTTCGATTGTGGTAACGGATAATGGTTCCTGGATGATTGGGGAGGGGTATTATTTTTCCTTCACGTTAGATCATACTTTGGGATTTGTTTTCCTTATGAATGCTTGTATTAGATTTTTCATTTTCTTTTTTCATTTCCTCTGTTTTGTTTCAATTTTCCTTTTTCTCTTTTGGTCATGTGGTTAAATGGATTTACATTTACATCGATGGTTATCGCTGTGCCACTCTGGCAAGTTGGCAACATAAAAAATGTGGCAAGGGATTCATAATTTGTTTTAGCATTCAATTTTGTCACTTGATTATGTAAGTCTATAGCTAATTGACACTTATGATCGGCAGAGAGGATCCTTAATTATATCAAAGGAGCATTATTTATGTAATTTGAAGAATGTAGTTTTATTTTCTTTACTTTTTTACTAATGCTTTTAGAGGTAGCGAATGCGTTCCACTTTCACAGGTTTTACTGTTGTCGCTGTACTAGATCCAATATTCTTTCGGCGTCTTTCTTAGGAGACGGCCTCTGACAGTAGTCCTCTTGTTCCAGCTACAGTTCAAACTAATTCAATATAAATATGAATATCAAATTTAACTTGGTGTTTATTTATAGTCTTAATATGAACATCACTACAGGGTGACTAAAAATCGTGTAAAATATCACATGATAGGAAAACAAGTTCAATAATTGAAACGTATCAAGATACATTAAAACCCCATCGGGTATCCCCCATCCCCGCTTTAGTCGTCTTGAGAATATAACAATTATCTCGTGGGGATGGGGCGGATTGTGGTTACATGTTTTGCTGACATCTCTGTATATATAATATTGTGACTCATTTATTGGTAATAGAAAATGATGTGTGTCATTTTTCAAGTAATGACTTTTAATTTGTAATTCATGTAAGTACGTCAATAACGAATTTTTAAAACAAATTAGAAAGCAAATATTGGATTTCAACAGTAAAGACATTGTGGACAAATGTTTCTCAAACGGCTGTGTAGTTATCGTTTACATGTTACAGGTATTTCAATATCGCTCCTTTAAATGAACTTCTCAATGGACACGATATCGCACCGCAAAGTCCAAATATCCCGAAATTCGATCGAGCCTAACATACAAGTAATTAACGATGTCCAATACTACCCCCCCCCCCTCCACATTTCAGGAACCACTATCACAATCCAAATACCACAAAGGCCACTGCACATTCCATGTATGTTGAAGTCATTACTAAAATTTGTTGAAGAACAAAATGATTCCAAATTGTCTTGACATCAGAAATTCTTGATGACTTCTAATTCTTGATGGCTTCTAATTCATTTATGTGGTAAAGGAATAAGTAACATATTTCAAACCTGTAATCAATATTATATTAAAAAAATTCCAAAGTTAATGAAATCTACCAAGATTTTATAATTATTAATCTCTGCAAATTCTTGGTCGAGGCTGGGCAAAAAGTTCAATTATTCATACTATTTTTCAATGTTTTTTTTTTAGTTAAGATTTACGACTCTTTGTATACTCTCAGTGTCTATACGTATAATACCCTAAAAGGAGTGATATGAGAAATATAAATAGAGATTATCCTATATGAGGTTCAGGATATTGGGATTATCCCGAGGCAAATATAATATATTTGCCCGAGGGCCGCAGGTCCCGTGGGAAATATATTATATTGGCCAAGGGATAATCCCAATATCCTGAACCGACTATAGGATAATATGTTTATCCCATGCCAATCTTGGTCATCTGGTTCACATTGTTCAATCGTGGAAATATTTTAGAATATTCATGTCCAGTTTTGTTTTCTTGGCCGTGGGCGAATTTTCTTGTTCTCTCAAATATTCCCACATTTATTTTCTCGAATTTTTTGATTGATTAAGTGGAACGTTCGGCGATTATGACGTAGCGGGCAGATATACTATATCTGCCCGCTCGGAGCGGGACGTAAAGCTATATCTGCCCGCTGATGAACATATAAGTTTTTACAAACCGGCTTTATGTACCTGTAACACGTCCAAGTAATGGGATAAATAGAGATTATCCTATATGAGGTTCAGGATATTGGGATTATCCCGAGGCTAATATAATATATCTGCCCGAGGGCCGTAGGTCCCGAGGGTAGATAAATTATATTTGCCAAGGGATAATCCCAATATCCTGAACCGACTATAGGATGATCTGTTTATCCCATACCGATCTCGTCATTTAGCTCACATTGTTCAATTGGCCATTATTTTAGAATGTGCATGTTTACTTTTGTTTTCTTGACCGTGGCCGCATTTTCATGTTCTTTTAGACATTCATTCACATTTATTTTCTCTAATCTTTGATTTTTAACAGGGACATGTATACTCCTTCCCTTCTTTAAACCATCAAACAGATCACGATTGTCTGCGTTTTCTCCATTGTCGTTTACTGTTATTATGCGAACGTTACAAAAAATGAACCAATATGCGAACGGCGATTATGACGTAGCGGGCAGATATACTATATCTGCCCGCTCGGAGCGGGACGTAAAGCTATATCTGCCCGCTGATGAAAATATAAGTTTTTACAAACCTGCTTTATGTACCTATAACACGTCCAAGTATGGGATAAATAGATATATCCAAAGCTTAGATTACTACTCAGGGGCGTAGCCAGCATCCAGTCAGGGGGGGGGGGTGCGATCGCCAAAATTTTTCAGTCAGGGGGAGGCGATGCTCAGATGTAAGTTCAGTGGAACAAAATGTGACTATGGCATATTTCTAATTCGTGGTATAATGAATCATCATTCTAATAATTGTAATTACATTACGTACACAGCT